GACTGGAAACTGAAGTTACTACTGTTCAAGGAAGAATGCATGATAGAGATAGAGACATCGATAGCCTGCTGAGAATAAGCAGAGGGTGCTTCCAGCTGAAACCAAAGCATGGAAGCTCCGCAGCCAACAAACAGGATGCGTTGATTGGTTCATCATGAGACGAGATTCAGATCATTTATTAGATCTAGCATTCTCCCATTGCGGTTGTAACTAGCAGATGTTGTTTCAACTTTATTACAAATTTTGAATGGAATGCGGAACAGTGTAACAGATTGATTAATTATTATCCAAATCGATATTCTGGAATCTGTGACCCCTTTTTCTGAACTTTGTGTTTCTCACTGCTGCAGTTATGCAGATCTGTCTAAAGTTTCTCCTGATCTTATCATTGGTGATTTATTGTTTTTGTTTTGAGAAACAGAGGTTATATCGGACAACACAGTTGCAGTAGTTGCAGTCTTGCTGAATACAAGGCGATAAGGCCAAGTATAATGCAATTTTTTACCTTGGTAAGTGTCACACGTGTGGCATTAACGGCAAGTTTAGTCAAGTGGTGATGACAATTTTAGTTGTAAGCATGGCAATTTTTTCTTGGATAGCATGTTTCAGCTTTTCTTTTGGGGTTGTTTTCTTTTTGGATGACAACTTTAGTTGTAAAAAGCATAAAGGCCGATTTGAGAATTTTTTCTTAGAAAAATAAATCAGTTTTTACTACAGCAAAGAAATAAGCATTGATGCTTAAGATTTTCTTTTTACTAAGCACATCTCTTTCTTGGCCGGACGCTACTGTCAGACCATGTACAATGTAGAGAATCTTGGGGATGTTTTTTTTTTAGGGATGGATCTTGGAGATGTGCTTATAGTAAAATATACTCGGGATACTACCAGGATCCGGAGATGAGCGGGGATGACAACTTTAGTTGTAAGCACGACAACTTCTTTTTGGATGGCAAAGTTTCAGCTTTTCTTTTGGATTTGTTTTTTTGGATGGCAACTTTAGTTGTAAAAAAGGTCATGGTCGAAGTGCTTCATGCTACATGTGTAACACTTATTATTTAAGAATTTTTTTGCTTGGAAAAATAAACCAATTTTTACTCGAGCAAAGAAATATGCATTAATGCTAAAGAAAAAAAGCAGTTTTTTTAAACACATTTCTTTCTTAGCCAGACGCTGGTGTAAGGCCATGTACAATGTAGATGATTTTGAAGATGTTTTTTTTTATGGATCGATCTTGAAGATGTGCTTATAGTAAAATAAACCTAGGATAGTAATGGGCCGATCCAGATCTGGCTTTGGATCCGGCCCCTATGACCCCATAGACAATTTGAGAGGCCACGAGTCAACCCATATAAAGACTAGTCAGTGATCTCGTTGGTCCGATGGGTATTTCGGATCGACTCAAATTCTTATTTTACATTACCTTGTGGAGAAGTGAGATGTTAAAATTATGCACGGCTTAACAGAATTCGACTAGTGTAAAAGTTAAGATTTCTAATACGTGGTTAATAAAAAAATCAACCCGTCTGCTTGTGATTTTGTAAGTGCTGAGACAAACTTGTTGTTTATATACGCAATCAGGGAAATTATACCACACACTACGTCGCAAAATTCATTTACTTTAATTGATTTACCGTAGAACATTTTGTTCTACGGTGTTGGGTCAAAAAAAAAAGTCGCAAAATTGGGTCCCACGACAATGCCGACGCGACGGATATTGCAACTGCTGTGAGATATAAGACTAAGGTGGGCTGACCCGGCTAGCCCAAACATGTCACCTAGTGCCGGCTCTGTGCACCCAAATCTCGTTTGAGACTGACCCACATGACCAGCAATCCCTATTTGACAGCCGTTAGCGGCAAACAGATGTGCTTTCGCTGATGCCAGCCATCTGCCACGTCCACATGAACCAGCCCACAACTTCAATGTTGTTTTGTTTGCTGAGGGGTCTAGGAACGTTCTGGAAGGTTCCTGTCTGGTTTTGGGAACCTTCTAGAAGGTTATTGAACTGGTTTTCTTTTTTGTTTTTATTTAATGTTTTTTGGTTTTATTTTCTATTTTTTTATTTTTCTATTTTTCTTCACTTTTTGTTTTTTAGTCACACTTTTTTGCTTTTTTTCTTTTCTCTAATTTTACCTATGATTCTGTCTTCCGGTTTTTTTGCTGTTTTTTTTCTCTTTTTCTGTATTAAAGAAATGTTCATCATATATTAAAAAATGTTAACTGTGTATTAATGGAATGTTCAGCGTATCTTAAAAAAATGTTCAATGTGTTTTGAAAATTGTTCAGCCGATATCACAAAAATCTTCAACCTGTATTAAATTTTTTTCGGTGTATATAAAAAAATGCTCAATGTGTATTAATTTTTTTTAGCGCATATTACAAAAATACTCAATTTGTGTTAAAATTTGTTCAGCGTATATATTTGTTTTCCTGTTTTTCAATTTTTGTTCACTTTTTAAAATTTTGTTCCCGCTTTAAAGGTTCTATTTGCATTTTGATTTTTTTTTCACATTTTCAAACATTATCAGCATTTTTTAAGAAAATTTGTTCACTGTTTTTCCAAGAAAGATTGAAAAATTTGAAAAGAAAAACAGATCTGCCACTGTAGCTAGTGAGTAATGCTATACTTACGTAAGAAAGCTACGTCCGTTTATGTAATAGCCACTGTGAAAGATTAGGATTGGTTGTTAGAGGAGGCTGGGGCCCACCCCCCTGAAAATTCGCAGGGGTGGGGGGTGGGGTGGGGTGTGTACTTAAGCTTTAGCGCTGCGTTTAGTAGGAGTTGCCAGCTCGAGTGGCTATCAACCATTCTCTGTAAACTGACGTTCTGAGCTTAACTCCACGCGCCTCCTTTTTTTCGTTAAGATTTACGTCGCCGGCTGCGAATGGGCCGTTTTTTTTCTTTTCTATGATTCTTTCTTCCGGTTTTTTTGCTGTTTACTTTTTTTTCTCTTTATGTGTATTAAAGAAATGTTCATCATATATTAAAAAATGTTAACTGTATATTAATAGAATGTTCAGCGTATCTTAAAAAATGTTCAATGTGTTTTGGAAATTGTTCAGCCGATATCACAAAAATCTTCAACCTGTATTTAATTTTTTTTGGTGTATATAAAAAATGCTCAATGTGTATTAAAATTGTTTAGTGCATATTACAAAAATACTCAATTTGTGTTAAAAAATTGTTCTGCGTATATATTTGTTTTCATGTTTTTCAAGATTTGTTCACTTTTTAAAAAATTGTTCCCGCTTTAAAGGTTCTATTTGCATTTTGATTTTTTTTCCACATTTTCAAACATTATTCGCATTTTTTAAGAAAATTTGTTCACTGTTTTTCCAAGAAAGGTTGAAAATTTTGAAAAGAAAAACAGATCTGCCACTGTAGCTAGTGAGTAATGCTATACTTACGTAAGAAAGCTACGTCCGTTTACGTAATAGCCATTGTGAAGGATTAGGATTGGTTGTTAGAGCATGCTGGGGCCCACCCCCCTAAAAATCCGCTGGG